ACTGTGACTTGTTTTATAATTTTCCTTTTCTATTTCACGAAAGTAAAAAGAGTTACCTATCTGATTCGTTCAGTCACTCAATTTAAAGAATATCAGTAACTTTATTGACAGAGGTATTTTAAATTTGCCATGTTGGTAAAAAATAACGGTCAAAATTCAAAGTTATTCATTTTATAGACTATACACGCTAAGCCTGGGACTTAATAATTAAAATAGAACACTATAGACTTACCTGAAGCTGATTTTTCTCCTCTGTATCCTTGTTTCCTGCACTGTCCGGTTCCCCATCATCATTTTCCACCATGGTCTCGATAGCATCCTCATTTAAGGGCGAGTTGAGACGGGTACCCGACTTTTTAGCCCCCAAAAGTTTCAGCCGGGGAAAGGTGAGAATATCAGGCTCTTTTTGTAGAGGAGGCCTGTGCTTGTAGGTGGCAGTTTTGTACTTCGATTTCACGTTAAATCTTGAAAAGAAAAGCGTTATTTTATATTAAAAAAACCACCAGTGTTGCCGGAATTGAAGGATTTTCTTCAATATGAAGGATTTTTATCCAAAAACAAGACAATACAGGGTGTCATTGAAATGGTGGAAAAAAAGGGGGGTGTTCCTATAAGTATAGGGCGGAAAATGCATATTAAGGGAGTTAGGGGCACTGAAAGGGTGAATTTAAAAAACGGTTGTTTTGAAATTATTGTAGGCTTAAAAAACGAGATAAAATTTCGAAAAAAAATCCTCTGCCATAAATTTTGACCCTAAATCAAATGGTGATACTGAAAAATTATTTGGAAAAGCGGAAAGGGTAGTTTTTGCAAGGGTGGGGGGTTGTTTCGTGAATAACTTTTTTTGAAGTAATTTTTTTGCAACATGGGTTCATTTTTTGAAAACTACATACTTTTTCTTACAAAAAAGATACTCTTGTTGCACATCGCCCAGAGCGATGGTTTTCGAGAAAATTGAAGGCATAGAGTTTGCTCTGATGGGTTACCTGAACTGGTTAATCAACACAAACTTATGAAAGTTATGGCCGTTCAAAAGTAACCAAGTAGTTATCAAATAATTAATTGAAAAATCAGAATTTCATGATTTTTAAAACATCTTATTGCTTTAAAAAACGAAATAATCCAATTACCAAAATTCCTTATTAAAATAACGCATTCCTTAATTCATTCATAGTAAATGTTAAAAGTGACCAGCATTCATTTGAATGCAAATATCTGATCTTCTTCTCCACGATCTGCGCATGATACAAAGAATACAAGGTATGATATTGCGCAGGCTGGTCACTACGTCACAGGTGATGAAACTGCACCATTGGTCAGCAAGTTCCGCGCGCCAATTTCAAATCGTCAAAAAATTGTCAAACAGATGACACAATAAATGTGAAAATAATTTTTCAAATGTCAAGCTCTATGATTGACATAACTTTTGGGTTTATGTCCTAATTCTTCCCTATTTTAGGTCTTTTTTTATTAGTGGCAATTGAACAATATGGATATTTTTTTGTATGGCGTATGACGTCACAGGTGGTATGCGCAAACTTAACGAAATTGGAGCCGCTATCGATCATACCTTGTTTTCTTTGTACCATGCGATCTGCGTACCCTGTGGAATATCCTTGGTGTTGTTCGAATTTGATTGGAACAGTCAATAATGCGTTGCCGTAGTTGCTCTTCAGTATTAATCGGCACTAAGTAAACCAAATTTTTTTTTAAACCAAACAAGTTTATTTCGTTTTTCAAGCGATAAGATGTTTTAAATATCATGAAATTTATGATTTTCCAATTAATTATTTAATAACTATAGTCTGTCCAACGAGAAGATCCTTGACAGTGATAGATGTGTCTGTCATTTTAATTTCAAAGTAGTTTATTTTATTTTACAAAGAAATAAGTTGGTACAACTGGAACGCATAGCAGGAAATTAATATATGTATTTAAAATTTGTCTGACAAGTAACTTCAAAATATTGTGAAAAAAACTGTATAAAACTGAAAAAATGTAATCGAGTTATTTTATTTGATAAAAAACGGCATGTGTTAATACAAAACAAACAAAAACAATACACCACATACCAAAAAATATAAAAAAGAACTATTTCTTACTTTCAAGCTTTATGAAACTTCCCGCATTTATGATTATATTTATCAATATAACTTATGTACAAATACAAATTTGTAATATTCCGCAGGAATAAATAAAACAAAATAAATAAAACAAACTATTTTATTAATAATAACACTTACCAAATTTTATACCTCACAGGTTGATTAATTAACTTTAATCTTAATTTTTTTAAACCAGTACCTTTTGACATTATTTTTCTGCAGTACTAAAATCCATTATTTTACCTATCGTGTGATGTCGATATTTTACAGCTACTCCAGTTTTTAGTATGGGTTTAGTATGGTCCTTCTACCATATTCGTGATGCACTTATCTACGACGAGATGGTATACGAACTTTATTGATAGTAACTTTATTGGTGTATCTGTATAAGACTTTCTGCCTGGGCAGCGAGTATTAACCATAAACTGTGCTCTGGGTTCTACAGTTAATTTTTCTTCCACTCGATTTTTCCTCCACTTGACTTCAAAAGACACAAAACACACGTAATAACACGAATCAAAATGCATCATCTTCCAAAACGCAGGGTATTTGACAAAAGTTGTCACCAATGAATAAAAAAACACAGGAACGAGCATAACGTCACATCGCTGCGATCAAAGTGGAGGTTGCATATGGCCGACCCACGTGGTCGACCTGTTTTCGATGTAGCAGTGGCGTAGAGTAATAATTATGAATAAGTCACGAAAAAAATAAAATGATAAACCTTGGCAGGTCAGAGTTTTAATAAATTTTTACTTTTATGTTATTTGTGAATATAGAGTTAATTTGTTTATATTTAACGGATTATAAATGAGTTAGTGATTGAACATAGGTAATATTATTATACCTACATATTATTATGTAACTAAAAAAAAGGAAAACGGATGGGAAAAGGTAAATAAATAAAAAAGTAAAAATACAAATTTATTGGCCTTTAAATAAAATTAATTTCGTATACATTGTGTGTACACTACTGTTTTTGGGGATAAACTCAGGGTTTTTGACAAAATTTACCCATTGCGATCTTCTCGTCTGATTTTTAGGAAAGCTAGAACAAAAGTATAATTTTAAAAAGATTATTGAAAATACCTATTGTCATATTTAACCCCGGGTCACCTTAAACCCCAATAATGAAAGTATTTTCTTTTTGTAGTTTTGTACAGTTAAAAATTTGTCTCTGAAATATATTATAATAATATGATAATCAATATCCAAGTTTTTAACCCAAACAGTCAAAACACAAACCCTAAGTTACGCCTATGATCCTAGGCAAGCTTTGTCATTTGTAGTTTTGTACAGTTAAAAATTTGTCTCTGAAATATATTATAATAATATGATAATCAATATCCAAGTGTTTAACCCAAACAGTCAAAACACAAACCCTAAGTTACGCCTATGATTCTAGGCAAGCTTTGTCATTTGTAGTTTTGTAGGTTAGGTTAACCTTTACAAAGCAGTTAAATAAAATAAGCTTTTATTGGCTTAAAAATTCTTACCTGTGAAATGTAACACCATCATCTTTATGTTTTGGTGTCAGGGAATAGCCACAAGCGGCACAGCTAACCATATTTTCGGAACACTGGAATTTGGCCTCTGATTTGGCGAACTGGGGCGATAAAAAATGACAACAGAATGAGTCATACTCGGAGGACCAATATGGCCGATTTTGTCTCGCGCATACTTTAGTGACAGATACGAAACGCTCGTTCCTGTGTTTTTTTATTCATTGGTTGTCACAAAATTATAACCTATAATTTGGCAAGACTTTGACAAACGTCAAAAATCTAAAGGCGAGTTCATACGCATCGGCGTCCGTTTGTCGTTCATCGTTCCGCCAAACCAATAAAATTGAAATACGATCTGTCATTTTTGAAATAAACCAATAAAACTGGTTAAAAACAACAAGTGACGACGCATGACGAATATATATTTAAACCCATCCGTAGTTAACTTAAAAATTATTAGAAACTTTTTTTAGTAAAATAAATAGATCGGTATGGGACGTCATCTGCTTTTCTTCTGTCATCGTCTGTCGAAATCTTACCTGAGAAAAAAAAACAGAGTATACTTGGTTACTTTTGATTTGGCCATAACTTTCATAAGTTTATGTTGATTAACCAGTTAGCGACCCATCAGAGCAAACTCTTTGCCTTCTATTTTCTCGAAAACCATCGCTCTGGGCGATGTGAAACAAGAATACCTTTTTGTAGAAAAAAGTGTGTAGTTTTCAAAAAATAAACTCAAGTTGCAAAAAAAATAACCTCAAAAAAGTTATTCGCGAAACAATCCCCTGCCCTTGCAAAAACTACCCTTTCCGCTTTTCCAAATAATGTTTCAGTATCACCATTTGATTTAGGGTCAAAATTTATGGTAGGGGATTTTTTTTCGAAATTTTATCTCGTTTTTTAAGCCTACAATTTCAAAACAATCGTTTTTTAGAGAGGAGCAAAACTGCGATTTTCCAATCGCAGTTGAAACTGCGATTGTGATTTATAAATCGCTGCGACTGTAACCTGCGATTGCGATTTTGATATTTTTAAATTGGTACGCTGTAATCTGGGAAGCTCAATCCCAAAATTTCTAATAAAAAACAGAATAAATAGCGGAATATTTTTTTAAATAAAAAAACTTACAAAGAAACTGTTGGGTGTTTAGATGCCATGTGCCTTTTAAAATTTGTAGTGCTGTGATTTTTATGATATTTTTGCTGCACAATAATTGCACTTAAAATTTTCATCAATTACCTACCAAAAAAAATCCACAAATAACTTAGTTTCCTTTTTTTAAACATTTTTGATTAGAACAGACCGAATAAATTTAAAAGGGAAATTAAAAATACATAAAATGTTCAAAATATTCGAATGTGCTTTTAGACAGTAGGTATACTAACGAAAAATTTATTATAAAAAAAGTTGCCGCCAACCTTAATTCAGATAAGTAGAAAAAAAAACTGTTTATTTTATCTTGTTTTCTTTTAAAAACATTTTCTTTATATGTAACTCAAAAGAAGCCGACGCCGACGGCTTTGATATGGCCCGTCCAGTGCAAGTGCAAACTTTCGAACTTTTAGATAAATAAAAGGACAATATCACATTTTATATTTAAAATTTCTCTAAAATGAAAAAACTGATTGTAAAGGATGTATTTAAATTAACATAGCAGCGGATCCACAACTGTTAGTATATTCAGAAAATTATATTATATTATGGACTGTTATAAAAATGTTTATAATAATATAATATATAACAAAATATAATAAATAAAAAGGGATGTTTCTTTTCCGTGCTCTATATCTTCTAGTAAATAAAGGATAAAAATAGATAATTTTTTATAATTTGAATCCAAAACTGTCCTTATCAATCATTTTACCTGAATCATTACCGGGGAGCAACTGTAACTATAATTAGTCATAACCGAAAACAAGAATTTTTTAACCTTCTCAATCCATAATTATATTATAAATCTAAAACTATTATCAAAATTTAAAACTAATAAATTATATATATTATGCGGTATATAAACATATATAAGCCTATTTTCCAACGCTTCATAAAAATTCACGGGGCCCTGATTGCGAATGTGATTTTGCGATCTAGTCTAGGGCCATGTGTTGGGAGCTGCGAACGAAAATCACAATCGCCGCTCTTCGTTGGCGTGCCCACTCCCGATGCCGCGCCGCCGGTGCCAACGAAAATCGCAATCGCAATGCTGGGATGAGCTGCGATTTTCGTTCAGCTCCTCGTTCGCCTGCCCACTGCCGTGTTGATGACGCGCCGCCGCCAGCCGCCAGCCGATGTGCCGGAGAATCGCAATATTGCGATTTTCGTTCCCAGCAAGTTCCCAGCTCATCGTTCGGCTTCTCAGTGCCGTGTCGATGCACCGCCGCCGGTGCAAACGAAAATCGCAATGCTGTGATTTTCGTTCGCGTGCCCACTGCGATTGGAAATCGCAACTGGTGTAATATTGATTGCCTAAAAATCCAAAATCGGCAGATATATGTTTCAATCGCAAGTCGCAGTTTGTTATGGAAAGGAATCACAGGTTGCGATTGCGAATTTACAATCGCTGCGATTAAATCGCAGTTTGCGATTTTCTGCTCATCTCTACCGTTTTTTAAATTCACCCTTTCACTGCCCCTAACTCTTTTAATATGCATTTTCCACCCTATACTTATAGGAACTTTTCACCTCCCGATTTTTTTACACCGCTTGTATAAAAGTTTCTGGCAGTTTTGCACAATAAAAATTGTGAAAATATGTAGTAGGAGTGTTCAATTAATGATACCTCAGTTTAAAGCAATGTCGCTGTGAAAAAGTCAGCAATTCGAAAGATTTTAACATTCAAAAAAAAATTAATAAATACATTTTTATCTTTCAACACCATACCAAAGTTCTTGACGTTGAAAAGAAATAAATAGGTAAACGGAAAACATATCTAATAAGTCATAAATTTGATATATATCTGAATTTTTTGTGAAGTTGAAGGAATATGAAGGTTTTTTAAGGCTCTCTTAAACTTACTTCTTTTTGGCTAAATTCTCCACAGTTTTCCTAAAATACGCGTCTCTTCTGAACGACGCTGTAGCAGTGTACATCGAATATCTATTGTCTCCACCTGACGGATTTTTTCTGACATTTTTCACGTCCTTTCTTTGACCCTTGGCTTTTTTATTCTGATTGCCCGCGTATTTGTTCAGACTGGCGTTTGACACTTCGGACTTCAAAACGCTGTCAGTCACCGAACAAGCTCTCTTAGTGCCCAAATCGTCCACATTTTGGATCGCCATTTCCGCATTAATTTTCAAGCTCTAGAAAAATTAAAAATTTGTCACTTGGCTATAACGATGACGTTAAAACTTCAAAATATAGCTTTGATTGTTGTTCTGTTAGTTGTAAAAAAGGCCTCTTGGTAAAAATCGCTACGAGTAATGGTTTTCCAGATATTTGGAATCGAAATTATCAATACCTGTCATTATTGACATAAATTAAACATGTTGACTAAATAGTTATTAGACTGAAATTATAAATTTGAAATGTTTTTGTGCCAAAAGCTCGATAGAAACTGTTTTATCGTCATTTTTTCGAAGAAAAATTTATGATTAATCAAAAAAAAAATAAAAAGTTTCCAAATGTATGATTTCAGTCAAATAACTATCTACTCAACATGTTTATTTTTTGTCAATAATGACATGCATTGACTATTTCCATTCTAAATATCTTGAAAACGGTTGCTCGTAGCGATTTTTTACGTAAAAAATCACGGAAATGTATTTTATAATTTTGTCACTCAGTAGTTTTATACAGGAACGGACAAAAAGTTATTACTCTTTAAAACAGTTAAAACCATAACCAACATGATATACAGGCCAGAGACATCGATTTGTGACGTCACCGCACTAGTCCGGCTTTTGTATTGTGCCATATGGTACTGCATATGGTTTTTGCATAAATAAATAATAATAATTTTGCCAGATATAAATATGAAAAATATTATACAGAAAGGTATTAAAAAATAACATTAACTTTTTATCGCGTTAAAGTAATTGAATAGCATTAAAATTTAGATCTAAAGCACGAATATTAATATGAAATAAACTACAGCATAAGATTGAACAAAATAAAATCTAGATAATAAAAAGCGTGTCCTAAAATTGCGTTAGCGAGTATTTAGCAACTAGTAATAATATACCTTGTGATAAAAAGTTTCCAAATATTAAAAAATTTGAAAACTATACGTTTATCGACAAGTTA